TTTTTGCCCCAGCCGGGCAAGTTGTCCCGGGCCACTACGGTAACGGAGTTCTGAATGCAATTCTGTCGGTCATTATCCACTTATCAGTGGAATACAGAGGCGATTGTTCACGGCTAGGTATTCAATAATTATTAATTATTAATTTTAATTTCCAAGGCTGGGTACAAAAGAAGAATGATAAAAAATATTACAAATGAATGGTGTCAGACTTTCAGTGTGCTCTTCATATTTGCCTTGTGTATTTTAATTTTTAATCGTTTGTTTCGCCAAGTGCGCTCTTTTAGCTCATAGATATCTGACAATATATGTCGTCAAAGTTGGTCAAACAGAACTGCCCAGTAAATCGGTAAACCGTTGGCAGGCAGAGAGGAAGAAGGGAGAAGAGGACAGCAAACGAGGGGCTGTGACAAAAAACTGTTTCGTCGGAGTTTCACCGACTGACTCATCAGGAGGCTGAACTCTATATGCTATATAGTTTATAACTTTATAATATATATATTATTGCATAGCGAAGTTGGGGAGGAAATGCGGTTGTTCAGGGCAAGTTATTCGTTCACGAAGGTTGATCTGTGTCCCAGGCTTGTGACCTTTTCTGTCCCAGGCCTGTGGCTATTTGTGTCCCATGCTTGAAATAGCCCTTTTCTTTTTTTTTCTTTTTTTTTTTCTCACGCTGAAGTCCATAGGGAAGTCGAGCAGAAAGAACGAGAACAACGACAAGCAGCTAGGGACACCTTCTTCCAAGGCGAGTTCTCAACGCTGAGCACCTTCAAGTAGTGCCAAAAAAAGCTAAAAAAACAGTCGTTCAGCTCCAGGGGGGGGTGTCCAAAAAAACTGCTGCTGAGGAACATACTGCACAAGATGCACCTCAGGGTTTCCCTGCCTTTCTCCCGAGTCGTGTTTTTTTTGTGTTTTTTTTTTGTTTTTTTTTTTTTAGGAATCTACCAGCAGGTCTAAGGGTGAAAGGCAAGCAGGCCGTTTTTATCTTATCTGGAATAGCCCATCTTTGTCCCAGTGAAGTAGCCCATTTTTGTGCCCCAGTGCAATACCATTTGTGTCCCGGGCTTGTGGGCCATTTATGTCCCATTAACACAAGCCCATTTCTGCCCCAGGCTTGTGACCATTTGTGTCCATCAGTCGTGTGCGGTTTGTTCAGTGGACGTGAGGGATGGGGGAGGATTATGGTGTTCAATTATAGCTTCTGAGGAAAATAATAACTCAGCAATGCCATGTTTGTGTATCTGGTTTTATGTGTTTCTTTTTCCAGGATGGAATTAATTTGACAAGCTCAAGTCATAAAGTAAAGTACGTATGATGACTCCCTCCAAGCATTGTTTGCTAGTACTGCACCAGAACCCCTCCTGTATATTGCTATCTGGAACCATAACCTATTCTTATGAATCTTTTTTTTTTTTTTTTTTTTTTTGGTTTCCCTCTCATGAATCTAGTGTTATCCGGACCCATCTCCTATTGTTATCCAGAACTCTCCTTTTTTTTATCTGTTTTTTTTTTTTTTTTTCCCCTATACTCTTACTAGAGACTGGAGCGGGTCTCATTTTGCACATTACAAGAGTGGTGTGGCGTGGATTTGAACTCAGGTCTGGATTTCAACAGTTTTTGGGTGTACGGACTGAGGGCCTCGCCATTCCACTCTTGAAATGTGAAAAAGACAAAAATGTGGCGGGTGCAAATGGTCATGTTCTAGTGGGAAGTTCATTCTCATTTTGCACATTTCGAGAGTGGTGTGCCGATGCCCTGAGCTAGGCTCGTTGGTTTGCCAAAAATCTAGCCTACTTTTATCGAGAACTCGATCCTACTTTTATCCAGAACTCTCTCCCACTGTTGTCCAGAATCTTGTTGTCCTTCAGATCTTAGAGTCTAGTTGGACTGCGCACCAACATTTTGAATGCATCTGGACTCAGATCTGTCGAGATGCATTCAATCTTTTGCAACTTTTTTGGTGTTGATGTCCTGCCTTTCCTCTTTGGGAAAGAGGAAAGAATGGCGGATGTGCAGGTGTCTACCCATCTATGATGATGGACACCGTACGTGTTCTCGGAGATGGAATGCCTTCTGTAGTTTGTTCGACTACTGGACATTTTTTAATTTTTTTTTGTAAATTTGTTCCCTCTGCTTTGCTTCATCTTTTCTTGTGATTCTGTTCAAGTCTTTAAGACTTTCTAGTTGATGCATGGATATCTTTGGTTTTGTACTTTTTAAGTCCCCCCCACCCTTTGCTGTGTTTGAACTCTTCTTGTTATGGTGTGTGTAAGACTTTTAAGTCTTAAGTTTTAAGTAGGTGCATGCAGATTTGCATTTGTGTAAACCTGTGAAACTACCAGTTCTCAGTCCTTCGGGACATGCATTAAAATTGGAACGATACAGAGAAAAAGGGAAGATTAGCATGGTCCCTCCGCAAGGATGATGACGCTCATGAATCCAGAAGTGGAACGCATTTTGCGTCTGTGGTTCCCTTTTGTATTTCTAGAGACTAGAGCTAAATCACCCCACAAGTGTGAACTGGACCATTGGCATTGATTACGTCAGTTTGAGAAAGGATTGGTCATTGCTCTCCCTCGTGGCTTCGTGTTTCCGTCCTGCACTCACGGGCCTCCTGTCAACGTGAAATGCCTGCCCAATTTCACCGTTTGAGCTTTTCGAAGTTCGAGCCCATTTAGTTGTAGAGGCTTTGGGGATGACTACCGTCGTGACCTGAACAGAACGCCCGGTCATTCATTATAGCTGTATGGGGGGCAACTTTCAGACCAGATGCAGCAAAAATGACCGGGCGTTTTATTCGGGTGAAGACGGTAGTCAGTCAACGACTCAACGCCCGGTCATTCATTATAGCTGTATTGGGGGCAACTCTCAGACCAGATGCAGGCTTTGGGGATGACTACCGTCTTGACCCGAACAGAACGCCCGGGCATTCATTATAGCTGTATGGGGGGCAACTTTCAGACCAGATGCAGCAAAAATGACCGGGCGTTTATTCGGGTGAAGACGGTAGTCAGTCAACGACTCAACGCCTTCCTGGACTTCTCCCTTTTTTCAGTGAAGTCACTTTTGTCAGTTAAAACTGGCTGCCTGGTGCGCTTCTGCCGTCTTTCGTTGAAGTCACTTTTTTCAGTGAAGTCACTTACGGGGCTCCCTTTTTTCAGTACTGTTGAACCCCTATAGGTGAAAATGTCATAACGACTTCCGGTACCCGTCCTTTTTTTTTTCCCTTTTTTTTCCCTGATACCCATTCTATTGTTGAAACACTAGAAATAGTAGAAGTACACTTTTTGTCTAGTGTGTGCAGCAAAATTCCATTTTGTATTGCCTGTGCAGGGATGTATTTCCTCATTTCGGGGGGAATAGCGGGAAGGGGGGTTGAAAGGGGAGGGGAGAGGGGGGGGCGGGGTGCGGGCAAGCGGACAGGGAGGGGAGTGCAGAAGATTATGATTTCCAGCACCTGAATCTGCATTTTTTTATTTTGTCAATATGCTAGCAGACTGGATTGGACTTCCGAATACTCAGACTGAGCACCTTCTGCTGTCTGCACGCTCCCAAGTGTCTTATCTGTTCTGTCTGGATGTTCCCGAAATGTCTGTCGCAGGGATTTCTCCATAATGCATCTCGCGGGAGGGTATCGGAAGCTCATCCAGAAACCACAGGAGTTTTCTTGGTGTGTGATTGTCTCTCTCTGTCTCTCCCCCAACTTTTACAACTCACCTTCTATCTAAAGATTCTGAGATTATAGAAACTGCAAACAATCATTGAAGAGGAAACATCGAAAGCGAGAGGGTGGCTGGCTGCTTGGGGGCGTCGACTACGAGAGGCTGAGAGAGAGAGAGAGAGAGAGAGAGAGAGAGAGAGAGAGAGAGAGAGAGAGAGAGAGAGAGAGANAGAGAGAGAGAGAGAGAGAGAGAGAGAGAGAGAGAGAGAGAGAGAGAGAGAGAGAGAGAGAGAGAGAGAGTTTTCTTCAACCTCCTGTTTTCAGGGGCAGGCAGCACAGAGCGAGCACAGAACTAAATGCTGGCAAACTGCGGATTTAAAGAATTTCATGCCCACCCTGGTCCTTCCCTGTTTCGATAGGCCTACCGGCCCTAACCTGCCCATGACCCCCATGTATACCAGTGTGGCACATGGAAGCCATTGGGTGAACTAGCAGTTCAAAGTTTAAAGTTTAAACAGAGAACTCCTTGAGGAAGCAAGGAGTTCAAGTGCTCCTGACAGAGAGCACACACGCTGGCCATAATCCTGGAATAGAATTAAACTAACCACCAGTACCTTGCCCGGGTGGGCAAACTTGAGAATAGAAAAGGCGACAAAAAGGCGACAATCCAAACTGAACCAAAACGGATTATATTGCTCAAGATTTGCAACTTGCACAACCCAACATCTGTTCGTTGACGCAATTTGACTGTTAGTCGTATGTGCCGTTGAACCACGGGACGGGTGCAGCAAAGTTGAGCGGAAAATTCCGCCGGAAATCCTTTGTCTTGACTCTTGAGGTTGTGTGCTTAAACCACCACTCTAACGGCCCCTATTTTTCGTGTCGACGAGTAGGGGACCAAAATCTACAGTGCCCAGGACTGGTACCACGGTACTACCACGGTACCACCCTTGTTTTTCCTCAGGGAAGAACTGTAGATCTTAGGCTCGGGGGAATGGAACTTGGGTTTGTCAAAATAGGTCCGGATTCTCTGGATGGAGTGGTGGTGTTTTCTTTTTGTTTTTTAGTTATTCTTCTTCTTCTTCTTATTATTATTATTATTTTGTGGTTTAATGCATGGGATGTGGCTCGCAGGGAGATACTGAAGTATGAGGACATGAATGACACTCTGGCGGAAACAGACTTGGACAGAATCGCAAAGGCAGGAGGAGAGAGGGAGGAGGCGGGATTGACGACCACCGAAGCAAAAGGTCGGCGAGTTGCTAATGCTGACTATCACAGTGGCAAAGGAAAGTCATGCTACCTCATGGACATATCATCATCATCATCCATCGCTTATCTGTGAGAAAAAAAATGGCGAATGAAAGAGTCGATGACGGACATGACATATATCATATATGCTCAGAGAGAACGAATAGCTGACAAAGAATGAAAGAGGAACTCAAATCATTAAATGGGATGAGCCAAGATTAAAAAAAAATAATAATAATTAAAAAAATGGAACGAAACATCCAAGATGCACATGAAACGATTCTTTAAGAACGATTCAACGAGTAAAGGACTGGAAGCAAAAGAATCTTTTAAACGAAAAAAGATATGAAATGATACATCAAACAACTGGAATCATGACATCCACCCCTCCTAACAGCTAGACTGCCCCCCCCCCCCCCCCCCCAATCCCCCAAAAAAAAAAAGAAAAAAAAAAAGAAAAGGTTGTTGAAGAACTGGAATGATGATGATAAAAGCAACAAATGAGAGAAGCAACGATGGAAATGAACGGGCGCATCATCATCAAGTAAATTGTCCAAGTACATGAAACGATATGTTTACGACTTTCGATGAAAGGCATTGCAAATGTCATTCAGAGAAGAAAAGAGAAAGAAATCATCACTGAAAGGAAGTGCAAATGGCATCTGATTTCTGGGACTGCTCAAACAGAATGGAGGCTGCAATAAATAATTCAAAATAAATAAATAAATAAGTTAAACACAATGGAGTGTGACTTGTGATGTCCTGACTGCCGCAGGCAATTCCTATTGTGCGATCGTATAGCGATATAAAGTATTATAAACTCATAACGAGGCTGCAATAAATAATGTAAAATAAATAAATAAATAAGTTAAAATGATTAAATAAATAAAAATAAAGAAAGAGGTTGTGGGTAACACAACCATGTGCAAAAAAAACAAAAAACAAAAAAACAAAACAGAGGTGGTGGGAAGAGGGATACAGCAACAGCAGCAGCAGCAGCAGCAGCAGCAGCAGCAGCAGCAGGAGGAGGAGGAGGAGGAGGGTCACCGAGACTGACCGTCTCTTAAGAAAGGGAAAAAGGAGCAAGACAACTCACCTGTGGACATAATGTGAAGTTTTGTTTGAACAGATTGTTTTTGACAGCTAAGAAATTGTTAATGACAGTGTTGAGATGTTCGGCAAGTACTTGTCGTCATTTACTGATGGATAAAAAAATAAAAATAGAAGCTATGGATTAACTGTAATTTAAAAAGGGGGAGAGGGGGGTGGGGGCGGGGAAGAAGAGGCATAATCCAGCCGCTGGTGAATATATCCCAAGAGGCCGCCGCGCTTTTCGAATACAATAACTGCAAAACATAGGCACTCATATTTCTGCTCTCCTTTTTTCCTGCGCACCTGGCACGAACTGAAAACCCGAGTGATCGAACCCCAATTGTCAGGTACCTGGAAATCGCGGTGTACGAGTCTTGCCAATGTTATGACATGCTGTTGGCCTCCTGATTGTCCTCTGTGCAGAGGGTCAAGTGCAAAACCTCAGCCAAGTAAAAAACAGCCCCAGTGGAGTGGAGGGAAGTAGGGAGCGATCTCCACAGCTACAGGATCCAGTCACAGCTGCATCGGAGAGGAAAATGGTCAGCAGCAAGGGCACTGCCTCTGTGAGGCATGAGCCCGGCGCAGTGGAAACAGCTGTTTCAAGTCTGAGCACAAGGTTAGACCTGAGTGAAGAACCGGGTGAAGACACAGCAGGAAAGACGTCACGGGCACTCTGCGACGACGAAGGCGATCGAAAAGGAGAGGGAAGCGGAAACGACAACAAGAAGGAAAGCAATCTTGTGGACGATTTGCAGAGCGATGTGAAGATGGGGGAGGCGGTTGATGGAAATCGTGAGAATGGAGGAGAGCAGGAGTCGCTACTGCAGCATCCGGCGCAGGTTGCGCAAGCTGATGGCGAACCTGAACAGCGCAATGATGACAAGCCGGACAGGATGATCGGTTGCAGAGCAGTAGGAGATGGTGCAGGGGAGAGAAACGAGGATGGCGAAGGAGGCAACGGAGCTCCTCAGGGAGATGGAGGTGATGGAGTTGTTCCACAGAGACAAGATGGTGCAGAGGAAATGGGAGATCAGCCAGGAGGGCAAGCAGAGGCAAAACCCGGGGGGAGCACAGCAGGAGAAGAAGGTAATGAAGAGATTGCTCACAAGGAAGCCGAGCAATTGAAAAAGGGAGGGGAAGTAGGGAAACCGAGGTACACGGCACTGACACTGAGGATGAAACTTCCCACATCAGCATATGCGACCATGATGATCAGAGAGCTCATAAAAGGATCAACATCTGCCGATTACCATAAGAAGACTTATGGGACAGAGAGAACGGTATGGCAAAGGGGGGAAAGAGGGAGGGGCTTCTCCGGTGGGGGGGGGCGTGGCGGCGCACGGGGTGGAAGAACTCCATTCGTTGACCAGAAGACGCATGACAGCCAAGGAGGAGAAAGCGGAAGGGGCAGAGGAGGGCGCTTCCATGGTGGACGGTTCCGTGGTGGTGGGCGGAGGGCATTCCGTGGCAGATCATGAGGGATAGCCACCATCGTGAAACCTCTCTCTCTCTCTCTCTCTCTCTCTCTCTCTCTCTCTCTCTCTCTCTCTCTCTCTCTCTCTCTCTCTCTCTNACAAAACACAAGCTCCATCTATTGGTGGGGAGCAACACCTGCTGGAAACCGGGTCCAGCGTCCCATAGATACAACCATATCCTCACAAATTGGCACAAACTGGGAACCGGGCCCAACGTCCCATAATGAGCACGTTCAGAAAAGTCATCAGAAGATTCCATGAAAATGAGACTAGAAACCTACTAAGAGTTTTGGAGCTACTTCAGACCTTTTTTCTTTGCAAGGAACTTCAGAGTTAGACTAGTGTCTTTTCCTTCAAAAAAATGTTTACAAAAGAATGGGAGCGTCCTTCGGGAAATCCGTTAAAATTGGAACGATACAGAGACTGAAGATTAGCATGCCCCCTGTGCAAGGATGACACGCATAAAACAAAAAGAATGGGAGCAATGCTGCCCCGACCCCCAAAAGTTGTGGCCGCAAAAGAGCCGCATATTTGTTCTTCAAGCGGGGAAAGGTACTGGTGGTCTAAGATCTTGATTTGCCCATATTGCTGCTGTCTTTTTTTTTTTTTTTTTTTTTTTTTTTTTTGACGACTCTCCGGGCCCCACGAAGAGAGGTGATAGGAGCATCCCCTCTTGATAGTCCTGATTGATCACTGCATCTATTGGTGGGGAGCTGCACCTGGTCTGGAAACTGAGTCCAGCGTCTGATTTGGAACATTTTGAACATTTTGAGAAGTACTGAGAATGAGAATCTGAAAAAAAGGGCGTAGCTGCGCGGACCTCTTCACCCAAAGTTGGGTGCCTAAACCATCTATCCAAACAAGCCCAATATGGTGGCTACTGCTGAGTGCTGTCATTTCCTTCTCAATCTGATTCCCCTATCCCCTACCAGCTAGCTGGAACACAAGGGTGCTGTCATTTCCTTCTCAATCTGATTCCCTTACAAAAATAAGTGCAGCAATGGGGCCCCCTTGCCTCTCTGATCTCTGTACTGCTGAGGGACCTATTCTTTTCAAAGGGACGCTGCAGCAGTTTTCCAGCAGGCGGAGCTCCCCGCGCAAAACGATTGGAGCCATCACCCCACTGGGGAACCCACTCTTGAAGGGTGTTCTTATCACCTCGAATAGTCAGTTACTCACTGATGTTTGTGTGCGGGGGCTGGGGGGGACTCCATGCTGAGGGGGAGTCCATGCTGAGTATACAAAAGCATTACAGATGAAAGAGTGGCCTACAGACCCGAATTATCAATAACAGTTCCGACTCTCGACCCCGAACTCAGACCCCGAAAGCGAGGTGGGGGAGACAGCTCAACGCTGGAATGGATAGTCTTTAGGCACGTCAGATAGTTCGAAAAGGGGGGGGGGGGGGGGGGGAAGGGAGGAGAAAAGAAAAGTAATAAGCCCCCGGGGGGGGGGGGGGGGGGGGGAGAGGAGACCAGGCGGGCTAAATATGCAGCATACAACCTGTCTCTTATACACATCTAGATGTGTATAAATGACTACTTCAACCCCCCCGACCTCGATTTCTTATTGGGCTAAGTGGGCTGGAGTGAAAGTGAAAACCCTAGATGACTACTTCACCGCCCCCACTGCGGATTTCTTATTGGGCTGAATTTGCTAGAGTGAAAGTGAAGCCCCCACTGGATGACTTCTTCACCCCCCCACAGCAGTTTCTTATTGACCCTGGTGGGGTAAAACCACGCTCACCACACGCGTCTCACAGCCACACAACCACAACCGTGGCCAAAGAGCTTTGTGGATAGACTCAGAGAGCGTGTGCTGTGGGTCTCACTCCCAAAGCCTTTTGTCCCATGGCATATGGTTCTGGGATATGTACCTTGGGAGGAAAGACCGCGAGGGTGAGACCCACAGCACTTGCTGTCTGAGTCTAGTCTATGGTTTGGCTGTGGACGAATCTGAAGAGACGGGGAGCATTTTGGGTGAATCTGAAGGCAATCAGATTTTGCAGCTTGGTATGCCTTTTTTCCTTCTTTTTTTTTTTTCTCGGGTGTTTCTGATGTGACTCCCTGTGAGAGACGGGGAACAATTTAGTGCTTGCCAGCCCCTCACATTTCAGGGCAGTCTCATGCTGGTCGCACTGCGACGCTGGACCTGTTTTCCAGCAGGTGCTGCTCGCCAATGGAACCGAGCAACCAACGACCCTAATAGGGGGGGCTGCTCGGATCACCACCACCCCCTAGTAGATCAAGTGTGGGTTTAAAAGAAAAGAAAAGAAAAGAAAAGAAAAGAAGAGCACTTTCCAGAATGCATCTAACAGCACTTATGGAGCGCCATGGATGAATCTGAAGGCAATCATGTTTGGCGCTTAGTATGCCGTTTTCCTTCCCTTTTTTTTTTTATATATTAAAAACAAGGACGAAGAATCTCGCTGTTTCTGATCTGACTTCCCATTCCAGAGCAGTCTAGTGCCTGTCAGCCAGTGTCAGCCCCTTTCATTTCAGGGCATTCTTACACAGCTCTCTCTCTCCAACCAGCGACTCCAGTCTATTAGTGGGGAGTGACACTTGCTGGAAACCGGGTCCAGCGTCCCATGAACTACTCAGCCCACCTTTTCAGCTTGGCTGGGTGATATGACCCCACACAACCCTATTGATGCCGCTACACCCTCATTGCGTTAATTCCTTCATAGCTGTGAGGAATCTCCACAGTACACAAAGGTGGGTGGAGTAGGGAAACATCTATGCAGGATCTGCCACGGAAATTGCTCTATGGGATGTGCACATGAGGTGGGTGTAGGGTCCCCACGTAAAATTGGTGAAATCTCCGTGCTGCAATCGTGAGCCCCTCACCCGTCCTTCCATTTTATCACTCCCTGTGAGGGAGAGTCACCATATGGCAGAGGCCCTATTGCGGTAGTATTGCCCTGTTCGACACAGGGGATCCATCAGCAGCAGCTTCCACTTGGCCTGGCTGACTGGTTCGGCCCCCGTCTCGTCCTTGGGTGGCCTTGGTATGGTCCAGTGCGTTTGTTTGTTTGTTTGTTTGTTTGTTTGTTTGTTTGTTTGTTTGTTTGTTTGTTTGTTTGTTTTTTCGTGCGGGGGTTGTTAAGTCACAGAGTAGTGTATTTTCTTAAACCACCAGCACTTCCGAGCCACTTTTGCCTGGGGCTCCAACCGCCCTGAGCGCCCAAAACAAATGAATTGGTGCGGGCCTCGTTTTGGCTGGCGACACCAGCCATTTTGCTCCGGCTGCCGACCCCCGAAAGTTGCAGCAGCATGCAAGGCGAGTCGGAGAAAAATGGCTGGGAAACTTAGTGGTGGTGGTTTAAACCACCAGTACCTCGCCCAGCTATTGAAGCCGAGCCTGGAAATGCCCCGAGCACCTACTGGTGGTTTAAACTTCAAACCACCAGTACCTCGCCCAGCTATTGAATCCGAGCGAGAAAAAATGCCCTGTGCACCAAAAGGGCACAAACCTGCGCGGGCCTCGTTTTGGCTGGGGCCGGCAGGCATTTTGGCCCAGTACCCCGCCCAACCCCCGGAAGTTGTGGCCGTAAACGAGCCGCGTATTTGTTCTTCAAGTTGGGAAAGGTACTGGTGGTGTAAGATCTTGATTCGCCCATATTGCTGCTGCCAAGGGTTGCTAAGCCAGACTTTTTTTTTTTTTTTTTTTTTACACAAAACACAAGCTCCATCTATTGGTGGGGAGCAACACCTGCTGGAAACCGGGTCCAGCGTCCCATAGATACAACCATATCCTCACAAATTGGCACAAACTGGGAACCGGGCCCAACGTCCCATAATGAGCACGTTCAGAAAAGTCATCAGAAGATTCCATGAAAATGAGACTAGAAACCTACTAAGAGTTTTGGAGCTACTTCAGACCTTTTTTCTTTGCAAGGAACTTCAGAGTTAGACTAGTGTCTTTTCCTTCAAAAAAATGTTTACAAAAGAATGGGAGCGTCCTTCGGGAAATCCGTTAAAATTGGAACGATACAGAGACTGAAGATTAGCATGCCCCCTGTGCAAGGATGACACGCATAAAACAAAAAGAATGGGAGCAATGCTGCCCCGACCCCCAAAAGTTGTGGCCGCAAAAGAGCCGCATATTTGTTCTTCAAGCGGGGAAAGGTACTGGTGGTCTAAGATCTTGATTTGCCCATATTGCTGCTGTCTTTTTTTTTTTTTTTTTTTTTTTTTTTTTTGACGACTCTCCGGGCCCCACGAAGAGAGGTGATAGGAGCATCCCCTCTTGATAGTCCTGATTGATCACTGCATCTATTGGTGGGGAGCTGCACCTGGTCTGGAAACTGAGTCCAGCGTCTGATTTGGAACATTTTGAACATTTTGAGAAGTACTGAGAATGAGAATCTGAAAAAAAGGGCGTAGCTGCGCGGACCTCTTCACCCAAAGTTGGGTGCCTAAACCATCTATCCAAACAAGCCCAATATGGTGGCTACTGCTGAGTGCTGTCATTTCCTTCTCAATCTGATTCCCCTATCCCCTACCAGCTAGCTGGAACACAAGGGTGCTGTCATTTCCTTCTCAATCTGATTCCCTTACAAAAATAAGTGCAGCAATGGGGCCCCCTTGCCTCTCTGATCTCTGTACTGCTGAGGGACCTATTCTTTTCAAAGGGACGCTGCAGCAGTTTTCCAGCAGGCGGAGCTCCCCGCGCAAAACGATTGGAGCCATCACCCCACTGGGGAACCCACTCTTGAAGGGTGTTCTTATCACCTCGAATAGTCAGTTACTCACTGATGTTTGTGTGCGGGGGCTGGGGGGGACTCCATGCTGAGGGGGAGTCCATGCTGAGTATACAAAAGCATTACAGATGAAAGAGTGGCCTACAGACCCGAATTATCAATAACAGTTCCGACTCTCGACCCCGAACTCAGACCCCGAAAGCGAGGTGGGGGAGACAGCTCAACGCTGGAATGGATAGTCTTTAGGCACGTCAGATAGTTCGAAAAGGGGGGGGGGGGGGGGGGGAAGGGAGGAGAAAAGAAAAGTAATAAGCCCCCGGGGGGGGGGGGGGGGGGGGGAGAGGAGACCAGGCGGGCTAAATATGCAGCATACAACCTGTCTCTTATACACATCTAGATGTGTATAAATGACTA